TGAAGAATCTTAGCCCATTTCCATCCGGCCCAACTAATAAAATAGCAGTCCAGGCCCAGGCATTTTAGGCGTGTTTTTACAATCACGTTTTTGTTTCCTTTTCTGTTATTTTAGTTTTCTGCAGCCTCTTTCTTCTCCATCTATTTAAGATGGAGATTACTGTTATTTTGAACCGATTAAAAATAAACTTTCATCAAATTAGTTTTGTGTTTCAATTTGTTCATGGTATCAGAGCATGGTTTAAAGCTCTGAGAAGTTCCTCTTGCTGAGATAAAATGGCAACACTTGAAGAATCGCCATTAGTTGAATCGGAAGACGATGAAGCTGCAGAAAGGCGAGTGACAGAGAAGGCATATTCTAATGGAGATCCATTAGATTTACAAAATTCAGATCATCCAGGAATGCAGCTAGTGACATCTCATTTAACAGGTCAGAATTATCTTAGCTGGAGTAGATCTATTAAAATTGCCTTGGGAGCAAAATTGAAATTGGGTTTTATTAATGGAAGCTGTGGAAACCAGCTGAAAATTCCGGTAAGCTAGAACAATGGGTTCGAGTGGACTGCACGGTTAGATCATGGCTATTGAATTCGATTTCAAAGGAAATCGTGGAAGCCTTCATTTACACAGCATCAGCCAAGGATCTGTGGGAAGAATTGAAAGAGAGGTATGGAGAATGCAATGGACCACTATTATATCAATTGCAGAGGGAAATAGGAAGCATATCTCAAGGAGCATTAACTGCTGAGAAGTATTTTACAAAATTGAAGAAACTTTGGGATGAACTGGGATGTTTGATGCCTATTCCTGCTTGCACTTGTGCAGCATCTAAGGAAGTATCGGATCTGACAGCCTTCAATCGATTAATGCAATTTTTGATGGGATTGAATGATACCTTTGATCATGTAAGGAATCAAATACTAGTAATGGATCCTTTACCTTCAGTGAACAAAGCCTATTCAATGGTGATTAGAGTTGAAAAGCAAAGAGAAGTACATGTGATTTTTCCAGAAATTAATGACAACTCAGCCATGTTTATTAAAACTACTGAATATAGAAGAGATAGTGGAGGAAGAAATGGCTATTACAGAGGATCAAGCCGTGGACGTTTTGGTAGAGGCAACTATAACTCAGCAAGAGGAAACAATAAAAGGTTTGGTGGTATGGAAAAGGAATTTTCACATTGTGACCATTGTAGGATGAATGGTCACATAAAGGATACTTGTTTTAAGCTCAATGGATATCCGGATTGGTACAAAGATCTAAAGGAACACAGGTTTAAAGGTTACACTGATGGAAAATATTCAGCAAATATGGCGGAGACACCTTTAGATTTTGATGAAGAACAGATGAATGACATCAGAAAAAATGAACTGACTGCATCAGGTAATATAGCAGACATTATAAAATAGGAAGTTCAGAAAGCCTTAAGAGGTAAAGCATTAATTGATATGGAGAATAAGGTGAACTTCACTCATATTAAGGAGTATGCAGGTATGAGTTCCTACCATTCTCTTTTGGCTAAGCTTGATTATCAGAAACCTGGGACTTGGATTATTGATACAGGGGCTAGTAACCACATTTGTGCAGATATTAAATTGATGACAGAAATAAAAACTATAACACAACCCATTCATGTTTGCTTACCTGATGGAACTACTAAGCAGGTCAATAAGATTGGAAATGTGAAATTGAATTCACAATTATGCCTCATAGATTCGTTATATATCCCCAGCTTTAAATTCAATCTATTGTCAGTACCCAAACTCACCCAAACTGCTTGTCTGAAACTAACCTTTTACCCTACTTTTTGCCTTTTACAGGACCTGCAGAGTGAAAGATTACTGGCTGTTGGCAAGCTAATAGGAAAGTTATATCTTCTTGACGAATCCAGTTTTATGTTTAGTAGCAATGAAAATACTAATAGTTCTGTTATTGAGTCTAGTATTTCGAATGTTTTTCCTTCCTGTAATCAGACTTCTGATGTCAATAAAAAATTTTGTTCATCCTCTATTGATTCACTTCTTAAGTGGCATAGTAGACTTGGACATACATCTTTTCACACTTTACAACACTTGGATTTTCTGAAACATTCCTCACCTAGATCTGATGATTTACAACACTGTGAGATTTGTCATAAAGCTAAACAACCCAGAACTCCTTTTCCAGTTAGTGATATACATACTGAAGCCATCTTTGAAACTGTGCACATTGATCTTTGGGGACCATATAGACAATTTTCACTCACAGGAACTCCTTATGTTCTTACTGTTGTGGATGATTTTAGTAGAGCCACATGGACCTTCCTACTTCCCCACAAAACACAAGTTACTAAAACTCTTGGCTGTTTCTTCAAAATGGTTGAAAATCAGTTTAATAAGAGAGTTAAGTGCATACGAACTGATAACGGAACTGAATTCCTTAGTACTGAATGTCAATACTTGCTGCAAAATTCAGGGATTTTACATCAGCGAACTTGTGTTTACACTCCACAACAAAATGGAGTCGTTGAACATAAACACAAGCACTTACTCCAGATTGCACGATCTCTGATGTTCCAATCCAATTTACCAAAAAAATTCTGGGCCTATTCCATATTAATGGCAACCTTTATTATTAACAGGCTTCCCACAAAAGTTCTTCAGTGGCTTACTCCTTTCGAGAGGCTATATCAAAAGAAACCTGATTATTCACTTCTCAAAACCTTTGGTTCACTTTGCTATGCTGCTAACACTAAACCTCATAAAGATAAGTTTGAGGAGGGGGGTTTTAAATGTGTCTTTCTAGGCCTTAACCCTGGTCAAAAGGGCTTTAAGGTATACAACATTTTCACTAAACAGATTTTTGTATCCAGAGATGTCAAATTTTTTGAATCCATTTTTCCTTTCAAAGGTTGTGTCTCTGATAATCCATCCATTCCATTACCACTACCTTTGGACTCAGATTCTCATAATTTACCTACCCAAACGCCTAGTTCCCTGCCAGACATTGTTTTACCTGAAATCAACCTTCCACAGGATGATGGTAATTCTCCAAACACTACTGATTCTATTCCTCTTACTCCCGTTCCTTTTCTTGACCCACAGTCCACAGCTGCTTCTCCTTCATCTCACCCACTCCTTTGACACAGTACCAGGGTAAAATCCAAGCCTTCCTGGCTACAGGATTTTGTACCAATATTAACAGTACTCAGCTTTTGCCAACTGCTGGTATTCCTTCATCTTGCAGGCCACCACCATCAGATCATACAGGGTATACACCTCCTACTTTTCCTTTTCAGATTCAGCCTACTATTAGTTCATCATATGCTGCGTTTCTAGCCACTGTATCTAATATCCAGGAACCTAGTTCCTATACTCAGGCCAGTCAAAGTGAGAATTGGACTAAAGCTATGCACAGAGAGCTTGATGCACTGGAGAGTAATCAGACCTGGGAGTTAACTTCTCTTCCTCCTGGGAAACAAGCCATTGGCTCGCGTTGGGTTTACAAGGTTAAATTGCATCCAGATGGGACAGTTGACAGGCTCAAGGCAAGACTTGTTGCCAAAGGTTATCACCAATTACAAGGGATTGATTACTTTGATAGCTTCTCACCCGTGGCAAAAATGGTTACAGTGAGAATACTCCTTACTGTGGTGGCAGCAAAGGGTTGGCCTTTACACCAGTTGGACGTTAATAACGCTTTCCTTCATGAGTTCTTGGATGAGGAGGTTTATATGCTTCCACCAGATGGCTTCCATAAGGCACTACCAAGTCAGGTATGCAAATTGAAGCGTAGCCTTTATGGGTTAAAACAAGCTTCTAGACAGTGGAATGCTGAGCTGAATTCAAAGCTTCGAAATTTTGGCTTTCTTCAATCAGAACACGATCACTGCTTGTTTGTTAAACGCAGTTCGCAGAGGATTCTTGTTCTTTTGGTCTATGTCGACGATGTCTTAATAACTGGTTCTCATGAAGATGATATTATAGCTACCAAGAAGTACTTAGATTCAGCTTTTACCATCAAGGATATGGGTTATGCTAAATACTTCTTGGGCCTCGAAATTGCTCGAAGTGATGAAGGCATGTATGTCAATCAGAGGAAATACATTCTTGATTTAATTCATGATGCAGGTTTAATGGGAGCTAAACCTACTCAAGTGCCAATTCCAAAAGGGACCAAGTTGTTTCACCAGGCAGGTCCTTTATTTCCTGAACCTGAACGTTATAGGAGGTTAATTGGCTGCCTCTTATACCTGAATTTGACTCGACCTGATATCACATATGGTGTGCAACAACTTAGTCAATTCGTCAACTCACCCTGTGATTCGCATTGGCATACAGCTTTGCACCTTCTCCGGTATTTGAAGGGCTGCCCTTCGACAGGCCTTTTCTTTCCTACACAGGGTTCTTTTCCTCTTCAAGCTTATTCTGATTCTGACTGGGCTTCCTGCCCCGATACCAGAAAATGCCTCACTGGATACTGTATTTTCTTAGGTTCTGCTCTTGTCTCCTGGAAAACTAAGAAACAGACAACAGTCTCCCGTTCTTCAACTGAGGCAGAATACCGTAGCATGGGGAGTACAGTTTGTGAGCTACAATGGATTACATATATTCTGGGTGATCTTCATATCCCTTTGACACTTCCCATTTCTTTGTGGTGTGATAACAAGGCCTCTTTGCATATCACCGTGAATCCGGTCTTTCATGAACGCATGAAACACTTGGAAATTGATTGTCATCTCGTTAGGAACCTATACAAGTCTGGTTTCATCCTTCCTCAGTACATTCCTTCTCATGCACAGCTTGCGGACATTTTTACCAAGGCTCTCGCTGCTCCTCAGTTTTCTCGTCTTCTCTCCAAGTTAGGGTTGGGTGACTTACACCAACCTCCACCTTGAGGGGGGGATGAAGAATCTTAGCCCATTTCCATC